CGGGCGGCAAAGCTGCATGCAGGTGCCCGCTCCCACACTCAGGATAATACCGTTGGCTTCGCTATAATACGCTTGCTATAATACCGGATCACTACCTTGGGCTTATAATAATCTTAGAGGCCAGAGCGAGAGCGCCATCGACTGTGTGGAGTTTGGGGCTCAGGCGTCGCAACCTGAAACGCGTGTTTATTACCGGCAGGAATATACATACTACAGTGTAGTTTAGACTCTAAATTATATGTCTATGGTTTATAATACGATCGTTAGGTTCGGCTACGCGAAAAAATCTGATTGGAGACAAGAGCAGGAACTAAGACAGGACAGGGACAGTATACAGCATGTATGAGGGAGGGACGGAAGCGCGACTGTGTTCGGGACGAGTGATGCAGACTTATCTGAATCTGGCATTACGGGATATGCAGGAGTTTTCTCGATCTTAATTTTGTGATCGAGTCAATCTCGGAGAATCAAAGCGCATTCGTACGAGCCAAACACGCACCGACAATATCCTACAACAAAAAACACGTGGGAGCGCGAAGCCTGCTTACCTAACACAAGTGACCTTGCTTGGGTGGCCATTTTGAGCGTACGTACGTACGCCACGCCGGCATGCGAACACAGACGCGTGCGCAACGCACACGGGTACAAATATATTATAGTATATAGTATATATATATAATATATATACTTTTATATACAGGGTTAATTTGTACTCAACCGTGCAGATTGGAAAACGTACGGCGGCTGACGTTTTTCGGGCCTCCTGCCAGAATTGCGAAGATCATATAGAGGTGTTATATATATATATAATAACCGAGAGTACATATTTCAACATTTTGGCTTGATGATGGAGAGAGAGTAGTAGAGAGAGGTAGAGAGGAGTCGAGAGAGAGAGAGAGCGAGAGAGAGAGAGAGAGAGAGAGAGAGAGAGAGAGAGAGAGAGAGAGAGAGCGAGAGAAGAGAAGGGGTAGCGCTATGCAGGGAAGTTGCGATTATGAAAACATAATGGTTTCTTACTAGACATCTAGAATCAGTTGGTGCTTATCTTGATTACTTGACCGGTTCACCTAGGCGGCAGTTATATTAAATTCGGTAGTACTACGGTGGGTGTAAATTTTCGTAACAACTTAGTTTGACGAATGACGTTTTTGGGTGTTTAGCAATTTTGCTGGGCGTGTTTTGGAAATAGATTCATAGCGAATTTTAGCAAATGGCCGCACAGAATTAGTATGCCAATACTATAGTTTAGCACACATGGCTTTCTCTTTCCCCTATCTTCTGCTTCGTGGTACCCGCGCTCTCTCGGCGGCATTTTTATCACTCTTTTGCTCTCGCTCTTTTGCTCTTCGGCTCCTCTCTCTAACCCCTCTGATTGTCTCTGCTCATTTATTTCACTGCTCTTTCCATTCGCTTCCGCCCGTTCTGCTCTTTCTTTTTGGCTTTTTTTGCGCTTCCCTTGCTCTCTGGCCGCGCCCCGCTTCTCCTCTATCTCTTTTGCTTTGCTCCACTTTCCTCCTCTCGTCCTGCTCCCCTGCTCGCTGTGCTCTCTCTGCTCGTCTCGTCTCTCTCGTCTCTTCTCTCTCGGTCTGCTCTCTCTGCTATCTCTTTCTCTATCCGTCTCTTCTCTCTCTCGTCTGGCTTGTTCTATAGTCGCTTTCTGCTCTCCGGCTCTCGGCCTGCTTCCTCAATGCTCGTCTCTGCCTAACACTGTCTCGTGCGTCCGTTTACCGTGCGGCACGGTGGCACGCGGGGGGGGGGGGGGGGCGGCACAATAAGAAATTAATATAGATGAATGCAAGAGTGTAATATACACCTATATACCCTATATACGCCCTATATACGGCCTATATACGCCTATATACCCTATATACCCTATATACCCTATATACCCTATATACCCTATATACCCTATATACACGGCATTATACCCTATATACACCTATACCCTATATACAACCTTATACCCTATATAATCCTCTATATACCCTATATACACCTTATCCGCTATATACCGCTATATACCCTATATACCCTATATACCCTATATTCCGCTATATACCGCTATTATACCGTATTAACCTAATACACTTATACCCTATATACCCTTATATACCACCTTATACCCTATATACAGCCTTATACCTATATACACCTTATACCCTTATATACACCTTCTACCCTATATAACACGCTTATACCTATGTACACCTTATCCTATTAATACCCTATATACGCCTATAATAGCACGCTTCATAGGGCCTATACTACACGCTTATACCGAATATTAGATACAGCCTTGATACCGCCCTAGTATATACACCTTATGAGCCGCTATACTAGCAGCCTTATACCTATATAAGGCCCTTCAGTAGCCTAATGTAACAGGGCGCGCTTATACGCCTATATACCGTTATCGTCTATATACACATTATACCCTATATATCACCCTTATACCCTAGTATACACGCCTTTATACGCCTATATGACCCTTATACCATATATAGCAGCTTATACCCTATATACACCTTATACCCTATATACACCTTATACCCCTATATACACCTTATACCCTATATACACCCTTATACCCTATATACACCTTATACCCCTATATACACCTTATACCCTATATACACCTTATACCCTATATACACCTATATACCCTATATACACCTTATACCCTATATACACCTTATACCCTATATACACCGATTTATAAACGCGCCTAATTATACACTTATATCATATATACACCGTTATCCCTATATTACACCTTATACCCTATATAGCACCCAATTATATCGAGTATTATAACACCTTATACCCTAATATACACCTTATACCCTATATACACGCTTATACCCTATATACCACTTATACCTAATAGTACAGCACTTATACCCCTATATACACCTTTTATAGCTGCTATGTACACCTTATCCCCTTTATATACACGCTTATTAACCCCGCTATATACACGCTATACCCTATATACACCTTTATCCCCTATATACACCTTATACCCTATATACACCTTATACCCTATATACACCTTATACCCTATATACACCTTATACCCTATATACACCTTATACCCTATATACACCTTATACCCTATATAGACATCCTTATACCTATAACACGCTTATACCCTATATACCCGCTTATACCCTATGTCAGGTTATACCTATATACACTTTGATAACCCTATATACACACCTTATATC